CGTGTTAAATCTTAACAGAGACTACAATAAAGATCGAACAAGAAAATGGCTAAGTACATAAACAAAATAATTATATTAATAAATCATTCGTAAATCTCAGTTACCTGGATTATGCTCCAAAATGTTGCTTTTGAAGAAAATTTTATTAAAAAGTTATATTCAGCGAGAAATGATAATGGAATCGAATTGATGCCATAATCATCAAATCAATGTCTCTATTCGAAGGGTTCTATTATCATTTTTCACTAGGTACAGTAACATAAACTACAGCTTTTTAGTAAAATTTTCTTCAAAAGCAACGTTTTGAAATCCAAATATATATTGCCCAGATATATATAATATTAAATATTTTGTATGCTGTTTTGCCCTATCCATTTAGGAAATCATTCAAATAAATCATTTATTATAAGTTATAATCATAATATTTATTCTTATTTCTTGAAAATCCAAAATGGCTGACGACATGCTGTCACTAGAGACAATCTAACGCGCATAAAAAGTGGGGCAAATGTGATTGGTTAATTTTTCGTATCCCCCACCTTTTTTTTTTGCCGTCATTATGCGCAACGACTCACCTTACGTATTTCCACTATGCGCGTACTGGGTACTCATTAGGTCTATTTTTTATTGCCGCACTTTCTGAACTAGTACACACAGTGCAATAAGTTGAAGTGAAACAAATATACGTTTGTTTCACTTTAACTTATTGCACTGGTTCAGAGTGCAGCAATAAAAAACAGACCTATTGTTAGTTTGTTAGTATCAATGCGCCCCGACCTAATGAAGTGAACGGCAAAGTTCACGAAACGTTAGCATTGGCATTATATTAATATTTTAAATATACAAAAAGCTAGATATGATTAAATGTTAATCTACTATTATATGAATGTTTAATAAACAAACAATAATAATAAATAATTAAATAAATAAAAATGGGATTTGCAAAAATAATAGAGATTGAAACATTACTTTTAATATAATTTTTTTTCCACACAAACGCACTGTATGTACAAACAATGGCTCAATCTAACATTTAGCACATATTTAAGGTAGAGGGTTCATGTAAAACATCATTTCGCGTAGAAAGTTGTAAAATTTATGTAAAACTTAATTTTGTGGAAAATTGTAAATTTAAACGAAGTAAGGTTCTAAAAAAAATTTGATTTTTTGCTTCTAATGTCACAATTTATGTATTTTATGACGGAGTACCTTAATATGCATAATAAAGCTTACAGACAATTTATCTGTAGGCAATAATTTTTGTACATAAACGAACAGTTGACAAATAAGACAAGTTTGTCGGCAAACGATGGCAATTAATTTGTAGATAAACGGAATTTTTTGCTATGCTGAAAAGAACATCATAAAAAGATGACAAAAATTTGTGCTTTTTAAGTTGTCTTTTCGACAAAACAAAAAGACGTCTTATAGATCTTTTTGTTTTGCAGAGAAACAACCTAAAGAAGATATCTTTTAGATATTTTTTTAGCTTTGTTCATCCCAAAAAAATATTCTACCTTTAGCGGTTCCTTGTTAAAGTCAAAGGATTTTTTATTTATACGTGTATAAAATCTTAAGAAGATATTTTACAAACTAGAGGAATTTCATATAACCATAAGGTGCTAGCTAATTTAAGATTGCAATTCTTTTAATGCTAGAAGAATGTCTTGTATGTACTGACATGTACAGTAACACAAATGATAAACTTCTTCTAACAAATAAGTGTGCCGCTAGTATCTTATACATATATCCTCCTATTTTAAAAGGCTATTTGACTTATTATAATAAAATTTTCTATAAAGAAATTTATTTTTGATCATAGCTCATGTGTTCACATTTATTTTTATAAATAAATTTTTATAGATGTGTTATAAATACATGCACCTGATTCATATATATGATTTTTTGCTTAGAGGAAATGCTGAGAGGAAATTCCCCGTTTATCGGCAGGATAATTTCTTTTGGTGTTAAAAGACAATATACAAAAGATATCTTTTTGTCACCTCTTAGTATTTTGTGTTGTTTGAGAACAGGTAAAAATGTAAATATATGTTTACAAATGTTTTTTTAAGATCACAATTTAATATAAATTTATAAATACAGATACCATTTCCAATGTGCGCGGGTACGCACGCACGCACGCATGCAGTTCACTCGTAAATTAATTAAACAATTATGTTTATTGTGGAAACTATCCATAATCCATTATGATAAAAGATAATTCAAAGAATTTGATAAAATATGATAAGACAATAATAAAAGTGTCACAAGAAAGTTGATCGGTTAAACAAATAATCAAACGACCAAATTTTCGTCGCGAGGTTTCTATGTTTGCACTTACTTTTCCACATATCAAAAATCGATAAAAATATTTTCTATTTTTATGGGACATCTAAATCGTGAGAAATCTTAAAAATATAGATATTCTTATGAATTAAAAAGAATAAAGTTTGTATAAATATTTATTTATGTGTGGGTATATATGTATATATGTATTTATATAAGATATTAATGTTAATATAAAAATAATTATAAGAAAGCTTTAAGAATGTATTGCTGATTGTATAAGATTAAAAAAAATAATAGAGATACCTGTATACGTATAGGTATATTTGTGTGTGTGTGTGTACGCGTATACGTTAATATGAAAGATGTGTATATATACTTTTTAATTAAAATCGATAACACATTTTTGAAGAACGTTTTTGCAATTATTTATATTTTCACAATGTTTTACAATTTTCAATTATTTGTACAAAATACATATATTATTTGAATAAAATTTTCCATTTATCTCTCATTTACATTTTCTGTTTATATTCCCATTATTGGTAAATATTTCATTATTGATTCATGATGCTTTTAGGCATATATGAAAAAGGAGAAATTTTCAAAAAAATAAATTTAAAGTAAATTATTATAAACAAAACAAAATATTCAGATATGTTTGTACATTCGTCTACGGATTATATTTTTACGTTGAATCGCGAAAGCTGTTTTTGTAAAAATACTTGTTTCAGAAAGTTTATATCGAAATATTGTTTTAGCGAACATTTTATACACCTGGCGGCAACGATTCGTTAATTAACAAAGCCGTTATAGAATGATGCAAAATATGCAAATTTTTACCAAATTACGAAAAGTTTGCATATTTTTCGTAAAATCGTATTATATTATTATTATAGCACTTACATATGATTAAAAATTTATCTAATACATAAATTAACAATTATTTAAAAAATTCTTATTGATATCTTCATTATTTTATTATTAATTATTTTACAAAATATTTACATATTATTAATTACAATTAATTTATAATATATAAAATTTTCATTTAAAAAAAATTATTGTTATGTATAATTTGTGTAATTATATCTTACTGAATTCTCTTTCTCGTATAATTATATCTATGAAATGACACATAAAAACGTATGAACGCATACATATAGAGTTTTAAAATAAATTTAAAGCTGATATT